TGACAAACTCCAATAAAAGCTAATCTGAAATACAAGGAACCTAATGAGCTTCTGCCAAAAGTTTCTCTGTTGAAGCTTGTTACAAAGTTAATTCAGAATTACGGTTGCCACTGTTTGTGTTATTCCCTTAAATCTAGTTGACAGAAAATATGGTTGTTGCCATCTTGAAAAGAAACAATCTGTAAATAATCTGAGGATGAAATGAGATGGACATCTCCCATTATTGCTTTATAACTGTCTGCCCTAAAGACAGTTATAAAGAAATTGTAACTGGTGTAAAATGTAGTCACCTGTAAAGTTAAGGTATAACCTTCTTCTTGTCATATGACAATTCTGTTGACAAAGCTAATTCTCTGTTAAGTTTCTGGGTATGTTAAGGGTGCTGACTGTCACTTTAAAAGCCATGAGTGATTCAGTATGGTCTTGGTATCTGTAAGACAACCTATATTCCACACACATTCTGTTCCACAAGTCCAAACAGAGAATACCTGATAAAGATCCCCACTATCAAGAAGTATAATAAGTAAGGGCCATTTTTCTCTGGAACAGCTTGTGTCCTGAGCCGAAGGTGATTTCCATTCTCATGAACTCCTGGAAGTTTGTAAAAACTATCCCAGAAGGCCTATGGGTTCTGAATGCTGTATCGTTACTATACATGATGTATAAGAATTATTACAGCTACAGTAATCAACACTAAGATACTTTTGGATAATGGTTCATAATGTCACCAATCAAAGGTCTAAATTATAAATTACTCATCATTCACAGATTAGAAAGTGTAGCATTCTTAAAACTTCTTTCAATGCTTCATTCAGTTGGCAGAATCCAGCCCTAACAGCAGTACTGTTCTTTCTCCTTGCTCTTATTCGGATATTCTGAAATAACCTTTCAATGCATATATGAGAAGCAGAGAAATTAATAACATGGAACAGCAGAAGTGTGCAGATTAACATTAATAAATGTTAAGCAAACAACTTCTTCAGAGACTTGAGACTTTTTGCTAGAGAAATTATTTTGGATACATGGGTAGGGTCTAGGACAATTGGCGCCGGCTATATTACCGCGCCCACTTCTTCATGGTCCCTGCCACAGCTGAACCACCACTAGTGTTTATGTTTGATGGGCCTCCGCCGGCAAGCCACTGAGGCACACTTCTCCCCGGGTATTTCACTGCGTGGGACTTAAAACTAGCCTCCCGGTGGCCGGGTGAGGTGGGCAGTGACCTTGGTTACTAGGCCAGGAGGCATGGCAAAAGCAGCAAAGGGAGCAAAGAGGGACAGGAACTGGGATAGTTCCCTCCCTCCCAGCCTGACCCTTCACAGGATGGGAAAAGAAGGGAAGGGCCACCTGCACACACTTTCTCCCCGCAGGGCTGCCAAGACTCATGGTTCACTTTTTGGGCCCTCCTGAGCAGGCATAGGCCAATGGATGCCGACGAAGCTGGGCACATGGCCAGGCTCAGGTAGGGATGGGGCGGGGCCCTCCTCTTCCCACTTCATGAAGGGCAAGGGATCACCAGAGAGTCAGACCGGGAGGGAGGGAGCCTCCCGGCTTGGCACCTGAGGCCACTGCCCACACACCCCGGGAGGCACGTTTAAATGTCCTGCACAGTGAAACACCCAGGATGAAGAGTCCATCGGTGACTCGGCTGGGGTTGGGACAGGACTGCAGCCGGACCATTGCCAGGGAAGTAGTGCCAGAAGAGGGCCTATCAAACATAATCACTGGCAGTGGGTCCGCTGTGGTAGCAGGCCCCAGATGAAGTGGGTGGAGTAATCAAACTTAGACACACCCTATTAATGTTTATTCGGATTTGTTTTGTTTTGAAATCCTTAAATTTATATTTAAAGCTTCTTTTGTTTAATGACTGAAGGAAATTCACCTGGAATTTTCAGACTTGTTAATCCAAAAGTTCCTAATAGTTAAAAAGCAGTTAACAGGCAATTTTAGAGAAATAACTATGCTACCCCAAAGTTATTTATGAAGGTACAAACTGCACCTTCAACAAGAAGGTTACTTCCTTGTCTCCCAGAACTTTCAACTTGCCAAGAGATTGCTGTCTTGTGGTTTCCTTGTGAGTAACAACTGTGTGAAAAGCACTTGTGGTCAATCTTAAGTCTTCTTGTGCTGAGATGATTATCAAAGAGCCGATCCACTCACCAGTTCTTCATTCTGCTGCAATCATCAGTTCTGCTCTTGGCAGAGCTGTCCTCAGTTTGCCATTTCTTCCCTGGAAGTCCACCTCAAATTGTTTTGGATACACAGTAATTTTCTCCCTCTTTGTTAAGCAAATGTCTAATTATATAGTTCTAACACAGTGGAACTATAGAAAAAAAATGCTACAAGACAAAATAAGCCATAGACCTCTGAGTTACTTTTTCTGAGAACAGCATGATAGAGAAAACAAAAGGGATACTTGATCCTCATTCACAAAGATACCTCCCTTATTCTTTTAGCGCTTAGTGTTGAGTTAAAAAGAGTTTTTTGTCCTAGTTATATTGCTTTAAATATTATTAAGAATGAAAAGAACCACTTTTTCTTTCCAGCCTATCTAATACCAACCGGGGTCAATTCACCATAGCACAGCATTGATAAGAAGTTTTTCTGAAGTTTCTAAAAATATTGGGAGAGGTTAATAAATGATGTTACCGAGGCTCAGAAGGAAAATTAAGCCTTTCATTCGCTGATCCTGAAAACAACTTATACCTATTCATTAGGAATAAACAACAACAAATGTATCACACTGAGGCCACTAAGAATAGGAAATTTGTAATTAATGGATCAGGCCAGTGCTCCAGTCCAATTGTTAACCAGCTAGAAAAATGTAATAATCCAAAAGAATATACATTGAAATAAAGCCTCTAATTTAACAATAGTTGAAATATTGGTGTCAAGACTATTGTTCCTGCAAACAATTAATTAAGAATTGGCATGAACTCTATTCTAGAAGAAAAAAAAGAATACAAAGCAGTGATGTAAACCAAATTCAATAAAAGTAAAAGAGCTATGAACAGCTAAATTTCAAGTACAGAAAAAAATCTCAGAGCATGAGTAAAAGAACAAGGAACTAATGAAGAATGATCAGTGCAATGTTGGTTTTGTTGATGTGCCGTTAAGTTTACAAATACACTCTATGCATCCTCTGATTTTTTAAGCTTTAAGATGTCTTTAAAATAAAACAGGTTCTATTTTCAAAATGCATTCTAAAAATTTAGCATCCTGACAACTGAATATTCAGGTCACAAGACAATATACGGTTTAGACACAAATACCCAAGCTAAACATAACAATGTGGTGTCTTCTAGATTATTGTATGGTTATTTGACTAGTTAATGGGAACATCGGGAGCAACACATTTGTACAAGATATATCAAAATTGTGGCTGTGACTGACATAATCAAATCTCTGCCATTTGCCCATTTTATATATATATATATGGCATGGACAATACACATGAAAAATGGGCAGGTCTTTAATTGTCTAGTTGTTCCCATCATTTTTGTCATTCTTTCCACATACACCAATTCTTTGTTTAAACTTATTTCTAAGTTCCTATTGTTGTTATAAAAATTTAACTAAGAAATCATATCTATATTTACAAAACATTTAGTGTTCCCTATATTCTTGTACACTTGATTACAATATTTTGCCTACTTGATTACAATATTTTGGAGTACCTTCTCTATATAGCTTCAGATAGTAAACTTTGGTATACATGCATTTTGTGCATGTTCTTGGGCCTTATGCGGTTTACTGCAGTGACATGTTGGTTTGGCATCTCTTCAGTTCTGCTATATGCAGTTGTAATTTTTTGTGACCTTTTGTGGAGATCTTAAGAATATGAAAACAGGCAATTATATTTATTGATTAATCATGGGGAATCCTACACTTTTTTCCCTGTAACACTGTTCTAGTTCCTGAACTATCCAAGTAGTAATCAAGGACATTTTATGGGGAAAGCCAGGATTTCTCAATTTCGCAAAAACAATATAACTATCTAATACCAATCTCATTTAGATACCATTAGCAGCAAGCCTAATGCCTTGTGATCTGATTCAAGATTATCTAGGATCTTTGCTTTAATTTGTGATTTTTGTATTATGTCTGTTGAAATATTGATTGAATTGTTTATGTTTTAACATATCATTATAAACTGCTTTTACTATTCTGAATGTTGTGATGTTGTTTTTGAAAAGTGGCTTTAAAATAAAGATGAACAATAAACTAGTCACACAGTGTTACACAGTACATAAAGTTGTATGTTTAAAATATGAATGCAAATTAAGGAAGGCATATAGAGATTTTGAATTATTATTGTGGAAAATAGAGACTTTCCCAGGCTTGATATTTAATACCCAATTAATATCCATATCTATTTTTTATTTGCAATATTATTTGTACTATATTAATGTATGTAACAATTGCTTTCAGAGTAGTAATTGAAGCCAAAAATCCCCTATTTATAATGTATATTAGGGTAATACTGATTTTTCAAATTAATAATTGCATGTAATGGAAGTCTGAAATAATCTTTGTCAATTGGAGAAAAACATGGAGAGATTTTACTGGAAATGGATAAGAAAACATGCAGTATTAACAACCGAGAAATGTTCAATTCTTCCCCAGTAATCCATGAAAAAAAGCTGCTAGAGAATGAAAGATTGGTAAGCAAAATGCTTCCTGCTCTTGTTAGTATTTCAAATCACCCCTAACCTTTTGGATTTTCATGTTCCATGTTTAAATAAACAAACTATTTGTTACATTTGTTTACATATAACTGCTGCCTGACCTTTGCTTCAGTCACAAAATGCAAACAGCATTATACACTGAGATACTCAGACTATTATACAATACTAAGAAAAATTAAACCATGCAGTCATTAGCGAAACATGTGTTTACAACTTTTACTTAACAATATTAGTTGATGAAACTTCTCCATGTAGAAATTAAAAAAAAATAAACAACTTTTTTTCTAAAGTTGATAACTGGCATTTACTTACCTCCCACTCCTTAACAGCTGTTTCATTAATTGAATCTTCACCAGCCTGAGTTTCAATTTTTTTTACTACAATAAATCCTGGCTCTCTATTTGATTCTCCTGTATCTTCTGCATATATTTCTGGACTCCACTGAACAAAAAATGCATACAGATGTTCAGTCCTTTGAAAGGGAAAATGAAAAACAAATTGATACCCATTCAGATTTACACAAATTTAGAAATATTGTTTTAAATAGTAATTCACTGTATCTTTTCACTGTCAATTACTCATGCTTTTCTTTGAAAATCAAGAGAAAGAATATTCATATAAAACCTATTCTATAATGTAAGATAAAACTATGATGGACAATATTTTCAGTATCTTAGCATGTAACTAGTACTGATTATGGTATCGTCAACAGATTATAAATCTGAAAAGAGCTTCTTAGTTTCATTAGAAGTGAATAGAACAGGATACCACATATAGTTGGCAGGATTAGACAACAAGCTTAAGATGGATAGGATTTGCTTAGTACTTAGGCAACATAATCAAGGAGTTTCTTTAGAAGAAAAAGTCATAACAGGAAAGACCTGTTTATCTCAAATACATAATACTAGAAATCAAAGATTAAGAATTTATAATTAGCCATGACAGATGTTTGCTCATCTAGTCTGGCATGTTTTTCCCTGAGTATCTAGGCAAATGCTTCTGAGAAACACAACAAGAAAAAAAAATAGTAATTCTTCCTATTGTTATCACTGAGAAAGTAGTAATTCTAGACATTTTGCTTTCATAAAAGATTCAGACCTATGGAAATTCCTGATTCTCTTATTATCCATGAATTTCTCAAATTTCCATCACTTAACTAATTCTGGGAAAGAACTTTGGCAGCATGACTTGGTCAGCCAGGTTAAAATATATAAAAATAAGGTTACCAGGCCACAGCTTGGCATGAGCACAGGAAGGCTATGGGGAACTTAGCAGAGTGATTTGTGACCTTCTTTGCTGGCTTCGCCACTGACTCTGCTTGAGAGAAGCCATCAGAGAAGGTCACAAAAGATGAGCACCTGACCATAAGACACTTCAAATGTCACAACTGTAACCCAGTTGCCAAATGCCCAAATCCCAATCATGTGACTGTGGGGACCTTGAGATTACCTGTAAAGCATATAAGAAGAACACAATACCCAAAAGTTTAAATGACTATTATTGTGAAAAAGGTACAAAAAAATTAACACAAACTCTCATTTTCATAATAAATGGTCCATTGTTTGGATGATCATTTCAATAAGGCAATGGGTATCTTATATACAGTTAAGGAGACAGGCCTGCCATAATCATTCACTTGAATCTAATCCACTAGAAAACAAATGGCCAATTTCAATAAACACGGAGAGTATACTAAGAAAAATTCTGAAACTACCAAGAAACAAGCAATTCAGCAAAAATAAAATAAAATAATATTTCTTGTATAGTTAAAACCTTTAAATTCAAAAGGATGTGGAATTAATATGTCAATATGAAGACAGATTTAAATTTAGTTTAGAAATGGAAAGATAGTCTTCCTCTACAATAAACATACATAGAAAATATCCACCTTACCTTTCTGATGGCACAGCAAACCAATATTCATGCTTCTTATCTCTTTGTGCATATTGCTGCATCAATGCACTTGCCTGTGACACAAATGTTTTTCGCATTGGCTTGCCTACTTTGAGACACAAGAACTTGTATAATCGATGTCTTCTCTTCTCTTTTATTAGAGAACCTTTTATAAAGAGATAAAATGCAGACTGTAGTTGGCAATTTTGCTTTATTAATTATTAAATATTAAATTAATTACTGGATAAATCTGAGTACACCTTTAAAAACTGATTAGATATTGTTACTCTGCTTAATATTAAGTTTAGCTATTATAGCATGGGTGGGCAATCTGCAATTAAGAAGGCTATATGTGAACATCTAGTTCCCTGTTTATATCTCCTCTAATCCCAAAGTTTCAGATCTCAAATTTGGAAAGTAAAGGGTGAAATGGATTCATCAAACCACTGCAGAGACTTAAGACACTCACAAAACCACAAATCCCTAAAATTAGGCCCAAATTTCTTATTTTGGGAGAGCTGTAACAGAACCAGTATTTTGCACGTCTTAAAATACTGACTTTATCTCTCAAGCCCCAACCTCAGGAGGAAAAAAGAAAACAAGTGGATGCAAACATTTAAACATAGGAATTCTGCATCCACTTAAACAGATTAAACAAATTACCTTATATTGGCAGATATGCTTCCTATGGCCAAACTATTAAATAAGCTACTGTGACTAAAGTTCTCTCCATTGACTTTTATGATATATGACCATACAACAAATGTTGTATGATTTGTTTACCACAAGATTAATCAGCACAAAGGAATGTAGACCTGACATTGTTAAGGGAGGACTTTCACAAAAGGTTATTCAGACTCTGAGAAAGAAACTAAAAATAACACAACCCTGATTTTAGAACAGGGCAGAGAGAATTCTGATGAAAAGAGTTTGTTATTCTATTCATAAATTTAATAATTGAAGACTATTCCTGGACTTTCTTGCTGTGCTTGTTTCTTGACCTTTGCCTATATTTTTTTTTTGGGGGGGAGGTAACAATTGGCCAGCAGAAGAAACATTTCTAATGAATGATCCTCTCGAACTGTCAAAATCACCTATAAACTTCCAAATGGGCTCTCACAAACTGCTCTATCTGTTTGTGTGTTTTTGTTCTGGAAGAAAGGAATTTCAGGGGAAGGGGAAGAGCTAAGTCTTAATACGAAAGTATGAAGCCACTTCATGGTGACGAATGTCTTCAAATACAAAATATAGATTTAAAAAGTCCTAACAACGAATACAATCCAGGAAACATATGGCTGTACGTATCATTACTTGCTGCAACCATATTCTATCAACACTGAGATACAAGTAACTTTTAGAAACAAAACAGTTTTAGCGCTTTAGGGACAGAATTATAATACAAAACTGTTTAGTGTTTCATATGAAATTTATGGTTAAAAGTAGAACTAATGCTACTGAAGATAAGATTTGCTTAAGGGAGATGGAAAAACTATTAAAAATATTTAAAATTGGCATTAAAAAACAGAAAAAAATTGTAGAGACAATACTGTATACTCAGAAACAGTCACATTACAAAGTAAGACATGGGACACAATAAAAGTCAAAAATACCAGGCCCAGATGAAACATCCATAAACTCTTTAACAGTACAAGAGGCAGTTAAAGTGTTAGCAGCTCTTTGTCAACAATTACAAGTGTTGTATGATCTAGAAATGTAACATGATTCATAGAGAGAACAAGATAATTTAAAATATATGTTTGCTTTAATTATCCAGCATAGCCTTTTTAAAAATTATGTAAAATAGTATGTATATTAACTCTGAAGGCATGCCAGTACACATGATTATTCTTTTGAGGAACTTTTATCATAAACAACAAACTACTTTAAAGAAATTAAGTTTGGAAAAACAAAGTGGTTCAAAATATGGAAGGCAATGAGACCGGAATGAGTATGATTCCCATCCTGTATTTATCTCTGATTTACTCTAATAATTTAGACTCTTTTAATTAATATTTACATAGTTCAAAAATAAACATGTTTCTGACAATAGATACCAAATAGTTAAAGCTATGATTTGCCACTAATAATGAGGAAATAGTTGGAAAACTAGGCATTGAAAATGACCAAGAAAATAGAAGGGAAATGTTTTGAATTATAGATATAGACACAGCTTACTAAGAATACCATGGGCTGCAAGAACCACCAATAAGTTCTGGAAAAATAATAGGCAAGGATTAGCAAGCAGAAACTGACATACTTTGTAAATATGATGCAAATGAATGATGGAATGTCAGGTAAGGGACATAGCAAGGAAGGTAACAGAAACAGTGAATAGATGGCATTAAAAAACCATCCAGTTCTGTGGAGAAAGGTTTTTCCATGGACCGGAGATTGCATGGTTTTGTGTGCTGCCTGCCTCCCATGGATGAGGCTTTGCTTGTTTGTGTGGACCGGTTACTGGCATGCTGCGGCCCAGTACCGGTCCATGGACCGGGGGTTGGGGACTCCTGGTTTATATCAGTTGATAGCCAGTCAGAATCATTTAGATGAGATGGGTATCCAAACAAATTGAATTAATAATCACGAATGAAGGCAAATATACATGCCCTAGGATAATGTTTGCAGGATCCAAGCTAGGTTGGTCAGCGGGACCAACTCAGATTGGATCCTGAATTTGATGGTGATGATGATGATTATGATTTTTGTGGATTATTACAAGTGACAAGATTTTTCACAATGCAGTTGTAGAAAAATGTTGCTAAAAGTAACATTTGTGCTATCTTTTGCTTTCTCACAGAAATCTTCAGAAATAGTACACTACCCCATGATGCATTTTGATGAAAATATAACAATATTTCTTCCCAACCTGTGTTCACTATATACCCTAAAAATAATTAAGAATTATTGAGAAATTTTATGGTTATGCTACATTAATTTTAAATTCTTACCTTCTATAGTTCCATCTACTGTTGCCATTTTGTGTTTCATTTCTTTATGCATTTCATGGTGGATGTTATCCCGTTGCTGCTTGGTTTGTTGCATAGTATGGCTCTTCCAAAGCTTCCGCAGCATCTCAGTATCTGTCTCAGAATCTTGAGTTGGCAGTTTCACAGTTTCCCCTTCATTTGTGGCCTCTTTTTGGGAATCAGTTTTTTCAGAATCCAAATGCTGCTCATTCTCTGGTACGTTTCCTTCTATAGGTTCCTGACATGTTCCAATATTCTGAACTTCTTTTATTGCTTTGTCCGCTGCTTTAGAGTCCACAGCTTCATTAACAGAAACACTGTCATCATTCAAAGGCTGTTCTCCACTGGAGTTTACATCCCCAATATTAGCAGAGTCTGAAATATCCTTTACATATTCTCCACCAGGGTGGTTTACTGTTTGGACCGATTCAGATGAAGCTCCAGAAGATTTGTCTTGTCGAAGATCATCAAGAAGCTCTTCTCGTATAGGAGACAGTTCTGACTCAGTGAAAACATCTTCTGAGAGAGATTCCTCTGTGCTCCTTGGAGCAGTACTGGCACTATCATTTCCTGTATCTCGCATTCTTAATTCCATTTCATCAGTATTACTTCTGGTAATTTTCTTGAAGTGGCAGAGATCTTTTACAGATAACTGACCTACATCACTAAAAAGTAAAGAAGACCTCTGTGTTATAACCTGAGAAAACAAAATGCACATAACTTTTTTTTAAAACTAGGATCACTTTAATAGAACCAGTTTGATAACTATTCATAAAGCAGTTATTCAACGTTATCTCTACAGAGAACAGCTCCCCACCTCCTACCTCATTAGCAGGGGACAAGATTTATTTATTGCAAAAGTGTCTATAATAATCAATCTTAGGAGCCTGAGTGGTGTACAATAATATAAAGAGATATCTCAGTTGTGTTTAATGAACACTTAAAACATGAGTACAAATAAACAGGATGGCACTTAACATAGCTAGATACCAAAAGCCTATTTAAAAAAGGATAGTTTTTAAAATATTGAATGTTAGAAAAGAGAGAGCCAGAAACATGTCTGTGGGCACTGTATTCCATAATGTGTGGGGTACAAGGGAGAAAGCTTAATTTCTAACCCACTTGTAACTCAGGAAGGGATTCTTTATAGAATAGTCTTATATTCAAACATAGGTAACTCGTTGAGCTACCTTATGAGGGACAGAATTCTTCATTCTTGTTGTAGTAGCTATAGGTAATTTAACTTCTGCAGGTTGTGTGAAAAAAAAAACAATTTTCTAATTTTTATTTTTGTATTTACAGGCTTTAAAGAAATCCTTATTTGGGGCAATTCCATGGAGAAGAATTTCCATGGAGAATTTCATGCTAATCAGTAAAGCAAAGTTCTACCTATATCATTGATAATAATTGTGCCACAAATTCAAAACAACCAATATTTTATTAAAAGTGATTCATAAAGCTGGTCACAAATCCTTGTTGCATATTAATGCAACAAAAAGTCTGGCTTTCAAAAACAGACCCAAATATATCTGTCTCTTACTATTATTACTCCGTATCACAATTTCATTAATCCTAAGTTATTTCTGCAACATCGTTAATGGAAAAATGTTGTTAAATTACAAAATGTGATAGATATTATTATTTATTAAATTTAAAGGCTGCCCAAGATTAGAACAACTCTGGTGACTTACATTTTAAAAAGAGTAGAAAATAATAAAAAAGGGAAAACATCATATACATTTGGACAGACTATGTTACTAGATGTACCATCAAAATACAATCAAAGAGAGATCTGGGACAGTCACATTTTATGTATCTATATAAGTTATTTATGACATATATTTATATACTGCCCAACTTCACAATAGAATATAAATATATAAAATAAATCATTCAACAAAAGGTCTAGCATGGAACTCTATAACCTTATTAGTTTTACTTACCTGATTAGACTCAACTAATTTTCAAAGACAAGGTGAACCTGGCTAAAGCTTTTATTGTTACTGGTTTTGTGTGCACAATGTCCCTAGCACAATCAGTGTCAAGTGTACCGTTATCCATTGTAAGTCTCCAAGTGCAAAGCATGCACAAACATCACAGGAAGCCTCTTCGTCACCTCTAAGTGAAAAACTACATGGTTGGGCAGAATGCATTTCTTCAGCCCAATAATAATGACAGAATTACAGTCCTTAATGACAGAAGGACTATAAAACACTGGCCAGTCACAGCGGTCTTTGACTGACAAGTGATATAAAATACATTTTCCATACTATACAGTGCAGGTAGTGAGTAAGTGAGTGAGTGAGTGAGTGAGTGAGTGAGTGAGTGAATGTTTTATTTGGCCAAATTTTATTAGATACACAAGGAATTCATCTCCGGTGCAGAAGCTCTCAGTGTATATGCAAAGCAACAGAAAAATCATCATCATTATAATAATAATACCAATAGGAGGGGAAGTAAAGAAGATAATAAGATAATAAGAACAAGGATAGTGGCTGTTCAAAGTTACAAGGGCACTGAAAAAGTTAGTTATGACCACTGCAGCATCCCCATGGTCATGTGATCAAAACTTAACTGCTTGGCTATTGACTCATATTTAGGGCATCAATGGTGAAGCCAAATTCACTTAACAACCAGGTTACTAATTTAACATCTCCAGCAATTCACTTAAAAACTAGCATGAGAGGTTGTAAAATGGTCAAAACTCACTTAACAACTGCCTCACTTAGCAACATTAATTTTGGGCTTAATTGTGGTTGTAAGTCAAGGACTACCTACTACTGATGTAGTTATTATGCATCAGTGACTCAATATGATGATAGGAAAAAGATTTTTTAAAGTGACTGAAATACTTTTAAGAACACAATACTGCCAATTACCACACTAAACATTTCAACTACCCAGGAAATCTGCTTTGTCACTAAACCTATTTCCCAAATTTAAAATTATTTTAAAACCAGATCTAAGAATTACAATATCAATAATAAAAGCATGAAGTCTTAGGATCAAATGAGGTATAAGAAATAAAAAGGAAATTGCAGAAGTATCAGCAAACAAAATCTCTTTAGCTGTCCTACTGGATGGAAAATCCGAGTAAAAAAATAACTTTATGATAACTAAGTCATACTATCACATGTGATACTAAAATATTAAATGTTAAAATGCCTATAGGATGGGTAATCCAAGAACTTTTAAGTACAATGTTGAAATAAATTAATCTTAAATATTGTTCAGGAAACAAAATTCAACCCCAAAGAAGAAGAGTTTATCAAAGAAAGACAGTTAAAAAGAATGCAATTAAAATTAAGATTTTTCCCCCAAAGGAGGATCTAAGTGAAAGATATCTAAAAATCCAAGTAGAATATAAAATATCTTCCTGCCCTTAGAGCTCACAGCAAGCAAAAATGAAATAAGGGAACAAGATAAAAAGAATGATCAGAATATCAATATCTACGATCCTGTCTTATTAACAAGCCTAGCTTTCTATGAAATACCAACAAATCAAACAAATATAACAGTATAATTGTAGATTATACTGTTGTAATGGTAGATAATATAAGAATCTGGTAACATGTCAAATCAGAAAACATGTCTAATTAGCTTTCTAAAAGCTATAAAATAATAAAATTTATTTAGATTCAATGACTAGTAATCCCCTTATAAATATTGGTTTTTAATGCTTCTGGATAGAAAGTAAAACTGTGCTAACTTTAAAAGCTATGGTGTAGCTCTCAAAAATTTATTTAGTGATTCCAAACCTCTTTGTTCCAAAAGTCCATAAAAGCAGTGGGGTGGGGAGTTTTTTGTCTCAGAAAAACAACATAGGGTGATTTGATGATTACTGTAACTAATTTCTTTCATTTGACTTCCACACAGAGAGATAGGAATGTGTACACATACATACACTAATCTATCTTACATGGGTAATGAATCCTGCATTTTGCCATCTGCATCTTTATACATAGCAGCTGACATCACTTCTTCCATTGGACACATGATGCCATACTCTTCACAGCCGTTCTGTTGAACCAATGGATCCGTTTTATGTGGATCAAACATTATATTGTTTGGTGTTACTAGGAGCACACCGGTGACAGTTCCCTAAGATAAGGAGAAAAGCAATCAAATGTCTTGCAAAAATAAACCAAATCTTTTCAAATTATATTTAGAAGTGACCTAATCACTTAATTAGTTAATGAATTTTGAGTATTTCTGTTAAACTCTAACAAATACATTCAGCTTTCTTATAAACCACTGAAAAATTGTAAATTCCTGGGAAATATAGTATTTAAGGAAAAACAATTTTGTCTAGTTAATATTATACCAATATATAGAAGTTATTGCTATGAAAAAATAAAGTTTTAGCCATAATAAAAATATATTGTAAGATGGTACTGTAAGATAATTTTATATTTACTTTAAATAATCTCTTTAATGAATCTTAGTATCAACTTAACATTTCAGCAGTTTCCATATAATATAAAATATAATTTTTTAAAAAAATAGTAATTTTCTAATATACATCATGCAACAAATGGTATCAAGTTACATATGAAATTGTGGTTAATTTTAATGAAAACTTTATCAATATATAAACAACTATTTTTTCAAGATTCTGTCCCTATAAAGGAAAGATTGCTTGCATTTGAAAGGGTTATATAGCTCTGAAGAAGCAGAAGGATATGTTATATATACTGTTTGAGATGTATACTATGTATATGGCAGTAAAGGTAGATTTAACAAATAATACATAATAGATTGGGAAAAAATAACTCTCTCTTTCTCTCTCTCTCTCTCTCTCTCTCACACACACACACACGTTAACTAATTAGACTGAAGCCTATGTAACAACCCAGAAAGAAAGAAATATTTCAAGCAAGCTAAGTACATGAGTATGTAATGAAATTAAGAATCAAGTAAATAAATAAATAAAACCAATTCCCATTTGAAGTATACAATCTTTTGCTTATAAGATCAATTTGGTTTTTCTCCTTTAGGCTTGCAGATATGCAAAAGTATTTATTTTAGACAGTTATGTTTTTAGACAATTATGTTAAAACTCTTTTGACTTTTATTCAATTCACCATAGAAAATGTCAGAGGAAGGAAAAAGAGCACAAAGGCAGGATATGGACTGAGTTATATCTAGAACAGATTGGACAATTGATATATGCTTTTACTTTTTTCTTTTACTATCATGAGGAAAATCTACAGAGAAAAATATTTTGTATGTTGTTGAGTCCTTAGGTCAAAGGAAGGAAAGGAGGAAAGAGGAGGAAACAAAAGTTGATATAGGCAAGATGAAATGAGGAAACGAGAGAGGGAAGGAAAAACCCACGCATTTCAGCCACTTAATCATTCCTCTTTTAAGCAGCAGCAGCAGCTTTTCATGTTGGTAAGAAAAAAGTATTCTCAAGAATAGCAGCATTTTCACTACCTAGTTTCTATCATGTTTCTTTTCTTTATTGTCTTTCCTTGCTGGAAAGAGAAAAATGAATGTGGATGTAATTTTGAGCAGTTCTCCGCAAGAGTTTTTCGTATGTGATCAGCAAGTTTGAATGAATGCCGATGGAAAATTAATTAATTAACTGGGGTATCTTTTTAAGAGGCAGTTAAGAGTTTATTCAATACTTTTTTTTCTTATTCTAACAGTGCCCCTGGCTCCATTTTTTTGTGAGGGGAATGTGATTTCTGCAAGTTACACATACAGAGGACACAATAAAACATATGCACACATTTCCTAAGGAAGATATTAGATTCTTCTGGAATTTTTGTTTTGTGTTTTGTCTTCCTTTTGGGGAGATCATCTTAAATTCAGGGAATATCATCTTCTCCAATAAACACGGTAATTTTAAATGGAAAACTTGCATGATTTGGGCAGTGTCTATTAAATTTCATTGCCTGAAGTGAATTAATGTTTCTATATTATAACTGGCTATGAATTCTCTAACATTTGTAAGATAGCACAAGTATATCCTTTCCTATTGTCTGAGAACAGAAAAGGTAGTCTAAATATTAAGATTTTTGAAGCATATATCAAGAATCATTTAAAAATATGCTATTTATAAAAAGATGACAGAACTCCATGGTTCACATAATCAGTAACAATCTATGTGTAACTTCTGTTGCATCTTTCAACTCAGCTGCTATTTTTTTCATTAGATATTGCCATCATTACTGTGACAAAGTGGATGAATGTGGCATGGTTACGTATAGCTTTGATAAAGTTGTACGGTTAACCTCTGTTTTAGCTAATATAAAATAATTACCCACATTCTTCTATCCCAATAAAAGGAAAATTCTCAAGTAATTTAGGCCACACATTATTTTATGTAAGAAACATATCATTCTTACCTTATTACTAGTAATGTATTTACAATTGATCTTGAGAAATTTTTCTGTGAAAGCTTCCTCTTCTTCTGATGTGGATGATACAACTCTTGTAGACCGAACACATGGATATGCTGGTATGGCTGTTGTTTCTTTCTTTTGTGCCCCATCTGAATCCTACAGAAACAAAAAACTCAGTGATGGAACCAATGTAGGTTTATCCTTGCCAAACCTATGTACCATAACAGAGAAGTTCAAAAGTAAGTAAATGATAAAAATGAGTCATTGTAAAACAACTATAACCGTATGTGATAGAAATGAATTCTAGAGACAATATTAAATGACAAGTTGGTATATGAAAGGTCTACAGTATTTCACAACTTACTGCACAAAGCAATATAAAAATATGCATTATAGTTTTATTTAATATTTAAGACATCAACAGTTTAAGGCAGGGGTGTCAAACTCAATTTCACTGAGGGTCGCATCAGCACTGCGGTTGCCCTGGGGGGGGTGGGGGGGTGGCCAGAGTGGGTGCAGCCTACTTAGTGGGCGTGGATGGAGTGGTGTGGCCTACTGGGTGGGCGTGGCCAGTTCTACATCATTCGTGTCAAGGGTGCCTATGGGGGCCTGGGCAGGAGTAGGACAGATCTGAGGGTCTCTGGCAGAAGGGGGTGGGACTGCAGCAAGTGCCAAGGCATGGTCCACAGGGACAAGTGCCAAGATGGCCACCACAAAATTGTACATTGGCTCCCGGCTGGCCTGGGCCAGGGCCAAGGCAGCGGGGGCCATTCCCTCACTGTTTCCAGGATGGCTTCCCGGGCCACAAGAAACCACTTCGCAGGTCGCATCCGGCCCCCGGGCCTTGTGTTTGACATGTCTGTTTTAAGGTATCAACACAGCTAACATCAACATCAACATCCACATCAACCTTTCAAACTATTTGATAACTGAAATAGATTTTTATATCAGTATGCCTCAGCTCTGATCAGATCAATGAGGCCTGCATACTACAATTTGGCTATTCTTCAGGAATGCACCCTTGGGGAAAAATATTCCAGATCTGTTGGGGGCACACACACACACACTTACAGCTGTCTTCTCAGCCTCAGCTTCTGAAGATGTAGGTGATAAAGGACTTTCAGGACTAAGTGAAGGAGAACTCTCCACACTGGAAAGATACTCTGGATCAGGAACATATAAAACCTATAAAAACACATTTTGATTAAGTGTGATTTAACAGATTTAGATTTTAATTTAAAGAGTAAAATATTATTTGCACAAGGCTCAAAAAGAAGTGTCTGCAAAAATGTCTTACAGAAAATTGCAAACTTTTTAATATTGTGATTTGGTATGCATAAATCAGTCGGCACTTAGAAAAGATACAGAAATTATTATACATTATCTGATATTACATGAAATGCCTTGTAGATAATACATGTTTACTTTGTTTATCTTCAATTAGCATTTTAGAGTTTGTTTAGGATTTCATAACCACATATTCACATTTATATGTGATATGAATTTCATTCGTGTTATGTTTACTCCAACAAAGACTTTATTTACCTTTTACAGGATTTTTATAGAAATAATTTTTCTAATAAACTTTGAAAAATGTTAAAGTTAAATGTATGCCCTTATTTTTGAATTGAAGAAATGTTCTGTTACTTAGGGTAACCATGATTTTCTGTTTAAACTTTCAAAATGGAACTGGAGTTGCAGCTTTAAACCAGACCTACTCCTGCCATATTCTGTACCCAAACCAATTTTAAGGTTTGATGACAATTTATTCATGTCAAGGGTTCCACTGTATTATTCCCCAATATTTTACAATTCTCTTCCATGTCACAAGATTAATTAGCTAGTTTTAACCATTCAGTCATATCCAATCCTTGGCGACCTTATAGGCAAATGCTTTCCATGTTATCCTAACGAGCACAGCTTCTTTCAGTTGTTGGATATTGATCTTTGTATCAGCTTTGATGGTATCAAGCCAGCGAGTTCTTTGCTTGCCCCTTCTTCTTGATCCACTAATGTTATAATGTTAGTCATCACCAAAGGAAGGACATATATTGAACATATAATGTTCAATAAACCATTAATTACTCTTCATCTATTTTTACTATACCTATCTTATGTAATAGACAATACCTGTCCAGGAACAACTGCTCTGGAAAACAGCTTGTTTAACTGCACCAATTCATTAGGAGTAGTATCAAACTTCAAGGCCACAGTATTCAAAGAATCTCTTGATTCCACCTGTTTAGAGAACATAAATGCAATTAAGTGATATGTGATCAAGTCTTCCCTACTTTCTTGAAAGTCTAGCATATTACTATATTGTGTATTTTTAAAAGAAAATAGCAGCCAATAAAAATGTACAGGCCTACATCTTATTATTAGGATTGAAATAGAGTAAAACAATAATTCAGTTGCTCTGAATAATCTGGATTGAATAAATTCCAAAGATAAAAAGACCAACTAACCAAATATTTGAGATGCCTACAATTTGATTTCCAACAATTTAAAAGTGCTTGACTTACTTAAGAATCAATTCTAATAGAATGTTTAAAAAAATAAGACTAAAAATTAATCAGCAGCATGCAGCTATCTCAAATCATGGCAAATTTTATTTTCTTAACTGCTGCACTGGGAATGAAAAGCTGATGTTTCCGATTTGACATACAAATCATTACCACAAAATGGAGATTACCTGGTTTTCCAAAGAAAGAAGCAGGGAGTAGGACAAAACAATAATCATTATAAAACGAGACTAATTTAAATTAAAATAAAACTTTACCCTCAAACAGCAACACCAGTTCATTAAAACAGAATTTAATTAATGAATAATTGATCTGGTGACTCCATGTCCCAAACTCTAAAAATTATTTCTGATTTATTTCCAATAAAAAATTTAACTAATATTTTTTAATGTGCATCAAAGATTTTTAATTGGATTCAGCATACACTAAGGAAAAGCTGAAAGACAACAACTACCTGCAAAATAGATATCAAAACTTTTGAAGCATTTGTTGCTGGCTCATTGAGACTCTAACATTTTGCTTATTTTAAGTCCCAATCAAGCCAGTCTTTTAAAAAATGAATTATGTGAACATTGGCCAACATAGTGCTTCCTGAAAACAGACATCAATCTGAAACAACGGAAATTATTGTTTCAGTTATAACACTTGAGAAATTTTGGTCAGTTCGCAAAGCATGACAGAATTCATTCAGAAAAACAACAAAAGAACATAACTCACCTAAGAGAAATGACAAAATATAAAATATAACAAATATCAAATGAAAGTCTGTAAACTACATCTAATAGAAAGTAACTGTGGTTTTCAAATTTTAGATTTTAGTTGCCTAAGAGGTCAAATCATTTTACATCCATGTATTTTTTTAAAAACAAACATGCAGCTTTTTAAAAAAAAGTATTGTGCTTATAACATACAACTTCTTTAATTAAAAATAAGCAGCAAAACTGACTTAATATTACTGTCCAAGAGTGTACTCATCGTAACCAGAGGGAATTTAATGTCTTTAGTTATTACTAACATATATTTTTCCTATCAATATCATTAAAGCACTGATATTATCTGAATGAAAACTTTTACTTTGGAATAACTGTAGTCTATATTTTTGTATTTTAAAATGAATATTTTAAGCTAATAAGGGGCCAGTTGGTGCTTTTTTAAATAGCTATCTTTCATAAACCTTCTGTAAACCACATTTACAGAATACTGCAGGGTATGTAATGATTTTAAAATAATTAGAGCACCCTAAATGCCAAATAAATAATTGATACAGATTTATCAGGCTGAAAAATAATATTCCTACATGATAGGAAATATATTGCTAACATGTTTATCATCATCCAAAAATAGTCATCTTTGTGTCTGTCTCTAAAATTATTCTCCCACTTCCCTAAAGTAAGCCTAGTTTAAATAAAGGCTATCCTTATTTTACGGGTTTCATGCAAAGTATCTGCCAGAGTTTTTTTGTACTTTCCAGCAAACTAATTGCTAGCTTTCAACTGTTTTCTAAACTGATACCCTAGTTATTGAAACAGGAAAAAGTAAATAGACTGTCCTCATTAAACATATATTTATTCAGAGACTGTTCTAAGTTACAGCGGCACTGAATGAAAGGACTTAAAACCAGACCTCAAAGTTCTGTCTGTTGCAATGTCCCTGCAATCACATGAACAGAATTCCGGCCCATCTGAGCCCACCAGCATTTATGACTGCCTTTTTGCTGACTACCTAACCATTGTCTCCTGTGCCTCCACTGCCTGATCTGTCCCACCCCACCCGCAACCATAATGAATGCCACTACTATAGTGGGCAGGGCCTTCTTTCACACTGCCTTTTTTCAGACAAGTGCATCTGGGTCATCTATCCTGCCCCATCCAGGGCTTTCATGCCATGCCCAGGGCCTTCTTTTGTGAAAAAAGCCCAGTGTGAGAAACTGTCCTGACTGTTCCCATGTGAAAGAAGGACTTTTCTAGCCAGATCATTTTTTTGCATCTGGGGATGGCACGAATGGAAAGCCTGGAAAGCCCCAGCAGCACCTGCATGAAAGAAGGGCCCCGCTGGTACAGTAGTGACGTGTGTGCAATGGGGACACCAGTGGCAGGCAGGAATGGGCCAGGAGCAGTGGATAGGTGGGCAGTCAAAACAGCAGACATAGAAGGTACCTTAGGCTACTCAGATACAATCTTTTCCATCAAACATAGTGTATTGCTAGACCAACTGTATGGTTGAAGATGCAGGAAAATGGTAGTTCACTTCCTAAAATTAGGATTGTTTCCAAAAACCTATGAAATTATTCTGAACCTCATGGAGGCCGTGCCATTGTATTCTGCAGAATTCCAATATCCTCCAGATATCTTGTCCTTTACCTCTATCAGCTTGAATATAATGCATAGGAATATGAGAACACCATAACTTGTGAAAGGGCAACAGAGTGCCTATTCACAATATACTTGACACCGTTGGCAAAGATCATCAGGATGGTATCCAGCTCTATTACTCCTAGTCACCAAGTAAGGTTGTACAAGCAAAAAATCTGTATCTAAACTTAATTTTGAGTAGAAAAATAAAACAAATTTAAAGTTTAAACTGAACTTGAGCAAAACTGAGGCTTAATATGTAGATGGTCCTGGCTATAGAACTTAATGTGACAGCTTGCTTCAAATACAATTATATACCCATAAAGGGACATTATTTAAATATCCTGCAAAATGAATTACAGACCATTTTGCATATATACACCCTGAAAACTGCAACGTTGGTACAAGGATACAAATTACTTAAATATTTTGTATCTGTATCAGATAAATATTATCATATTTATTGAAAGGAGTCTGACCAATATATAACATGGCTATATTTATTTACTTCAAGAAATCAAAAGCTCACTGTAAATAACTCCATGAATGAAATGTCAAGATTACTCCCTGAACCACTTTGTCAATGGAGAACCAAATATGGAACCAGGAATCCTGAAAGAGCTGTGTTTGTTCTCTGTTCATTTCTAAGCCAAATTCAAAGTTCTATATCTTTATAATTCCCTAAGAAACAGAGTAGAGTCTCTGAATATTGTTATGAGTTGTCTCATATTTTCAGATGGAGCAGGGGAACAATAGACATTTATCTTCTTGTCACATCACTGTGGGCAACATACATATAATAACACAAGATAAATCCTTATTTTTTTTAATTATTGAAACCTGGCCAAGATTCAGTTAATTATCAAGGCATTATGACTGCCAACATCTACTGCAGAGAATGTGATTGGGTTGTCTGTAGAGTGATAATTATGTTTATGTTTATTAAAATGTGTAATGTGGATTATTTTAATACTGCTTATGAACTCCTACATATATTTATTGAAAATATATAAATAGAAATAAAAAGTGCATAAGTTTCCAACATTGTAAGCTTTCCACAGACAAGGCCATATTTAGGCTCATTTGATTAATTATGTATCTACAATATTTCTATTTAAGGAACTTAAACTGAAATTTAAACTCACGTGGAAGTAGGAATGCAACGTGTTTTGTATTTTATTATTCAGTACTTCTTTCTACAGCAGATTGGAAGCCATAGACTTTTTCTAAATCCTATAATTTCTTATATTAACGAATAGTGGATAAAATCTTACTATATTATATATTTTTCATAGACCCCCAACAAAAATAAAAAAGAATAGACTAAAATTCTGATTATCGTTCAAATTTCTAAGTACCAGAATACTGATATGTCTTACTTTTATAAACAATAATAATTGCAATTAGCAATCATTTAAAGCAGTTCATCAAGTTAATCACAATGTTTATCACAGGAAATATATTTCAAATTTTAGAGTGAACAAGGCACAATTTTTCAGGATTAGAGGGGTACATTATTATGACAGTGTGTCATCTACAGCATTTTTTCTAAAAAGTTGTTTCCTCTTTTCTAGTATTTTCAAATAATTTTTTCCAATGGGAAATATTGTATATAATTTAATAGAAAAGTAAGATTTCCAAGTATTGCATTTATGTATCAGGGAGATTTCTAAGCAGTTAATCTTATATGCTAACAGACTTTTTCATGAGAAGAAATAAATACATGAAAGAAATCTTTATATATTTTTATATTTCCAAATTTATGTTAATGATTTGAGAATTATTGGGAATTGAGAATAAAATAAAATAAAATAAAAACCCAAACAAATTAGGTTACAAATGTGTAACAAACAATAAGCAAATTGAAGTACTAATGCACTATGTAATAATGACAAGTTATTAATTATTTTGATATACAAGTAGAAAAACTAAACTAAACTTTTCCAGTCTCTTTAATACCCTGATACAAGCACTTTAAGGCTAAGGAAGCTGGCAGTAGCAACATAATTTTCAATTGTTTGCACAAGTTATTAGAGACCATTTTGTAGTATGCACTCTGAAAACTATAAATTTTCTTACAGTTGGTACAATGGTGCAAATTACTTAAATATTCCATATTTGTATCAACTGAACATTTCCAAAGTCACTGAAAGAATTTTGATTAATGGAAAGTGTGGCTATATTTTTCCTCTACTGTAATAAATCAAAATCTGAGTGTATAACATCTTCATGAACAAGCTTATTATCTGATTATAACTTTACTAATACACATATTATATAGACTTACATAGTAAAATTGACACAAAAGTTCTGCTTGTATTTTTAATACAAGTCATTCAAAGCAACTTTGTTAGAAGCGTGATAGCTGATACCCACTCTGTATCAGATTGTTTATACAAGTAATTCATTTAAAGTGAAGGAACCAATTCACTTCCTAATTACATTTTATGGTTATATACTCATCAGTATCTCTGAAATTCAGCAATGAAAAGAAAAAGAGCAATATAACTTTAGAGTAAGACAGTTCTGTTTAAACTGTCACAAAAATACTCACAGTACATACATAGAAATAGAACCCTAATAGCCAGCTTTTTATTGTTTCATTTCTACTTAAAAATGAACTCAATTGATTTATAGTGGCACAATGTGAAAATTCTGTATCTAGAAACCATAAATATATTGGTATTATATAATAAAGTATTATAATAAAGTATTTCCTCATTCAGACTTCTGTTTCCCTTAGTAACCAGAAATTTAAAAGACTGACTATATTTCTGCTTTAGGGTCATTTGAAGAACATATAGACTCGGCATTCAGCTACTGATGATTAAAAAACAGAACTGGTCCCTGATGTACTAATAAGTCAATGAAACTTAAGAGAACAAAATAAGACAACAAAAATATTTGTGTACCACACTGGTAAAATGAGACAAAATTATACCAATCTACATTCAGTGAATTATTAACAATATTAAAAGCATTAGATGCAATAAGGGATTTATTGATGTCTTCTAAAAGTACAATAAGGCATATATTTAAAATCAGTGACCTACTATTAGTATTTAACATCCACAGGAAGAGTGGAAAGTTGAACAGTATTACACCATATCATGTTTGAAAAGATTCAGAATAGTACTTATCAATCCCATTAACACATTTTCAATGTATCTTGAAAATTATGTATCCGAGCAGAAACTTACGATATACTCTATAGTCCCTTTTGGCTTTTGAAAAGACATGCGTCTCCCATCTTTCTTGTCTATAGTCTTCTTCTGGCCAGTATCTGAAAGAAATTGAGGCAAAGCATGCATTACATTCATCTTTCTCTCATCTCAGGATTGTCACACACTGTGGACTAAAGCATCACTCAAAGACATGTAATTCACCAGTTACATAGCTCTCAGCCAGTGAATCTATGCTCAGCCTAAGACAACTACCTATCATAACAGACTTCATTCCCCTAAATTTATTACACTTTAGTGTTTAGAAATGCCTTAGCTTTATCAATATCTGCAAGTCTTCCAAAGTATTATTAAATCACAAGAAACTAGATGAAAGGTATTTTCAATATAGGCCAAGGTTATAACAATTCTCTAACATATTTAATTAGATTTTCATTACATATAGCTTGCCTGTCATCTGCAGTAAATTAAAATCAGCTTCAGAGATTAGTCCTTAACTTTAGCTACAGTTTTTCAAACACAGCTATATAACATTTTAATGGCAAGTATGACCTTTTGTATACAACTTTGCTAATTTTTTTTGGTTTTCTATTGTTTTCTTGTTGTTAAACATTTAAAAACATTTAACAAGTGGTAAATCACTCAGAGTTGCTGGGACTCATGCTCCATTCATTTGACTTGTGAACTCTGTTCAGAAATCCACACTTTCTTACTTTAGCAAACTTTACCTGATTAAGTCCTTTTCTTCAACTTATAAGAAACTGAAACTACTTAATAACTTCAACAAGCGCAAAGGAGTTTTATAAATGGTGCACAAAGAGACTTAAAAGAGAAGGAGGGAAAAAGAATCTAACCCTTTTTTAAAATTTGTTCCTCATCTCAGAACATAATCAGTTTTACATATAGAAAGGCCCATACTTCAAAATTGGAGTGGATGATTTGGAGAAGAGATATAGTCTCTAAGATGTACAAAAATAAGGGAACTGAGATAGGTTGAGGTAGTCCTTACTTTCTGCCCCAGTCATAGATTAAATGCTCTGAAATGGGTTGCAGGCCAAGCCAAGGTTTAAAATGCTAATTCAGGAACACTGACCTAAGATTTCAGCTGACCTGCAGTTCTTATTCATTTCAAATTGCATTTTTATCATTAAAAAAAATATTAGACTTTACAGATACAAAGATAAAAGCTTAATTAAAAATAAGAAAAATATATAAAGGAATTGCAGACATACAAAATATCTCTTCTTTAATCTCTCTCTCTCTTTTTTACAATCCTGTAATCCCTTAATTCAGGATACAGTCAAGGCAACTGAATGGAGCTGAGCATTTACTGGCTGGATGGCCTTCCTGACACCTTCATGGTGTTCACAGCAGAAATTTTCTCTTTGCTGCCTGACAGAGAAACATTTGCTGCTATCTAGGATTGAACTCTCAACCTTCTGAGTGTGTGAGCATTTTCATGAGTATGCCATCATGCCGCTCTTCTTCCCATGTACATGAACTCTGTAGATGCCTTAAGCTACATGAATAAATAAATGAATTTAACATATCCATTTGATAAATCCAAGATAAGAAGACTTTCCAAGTTATTTTTCTGGTTTATTATTTGTATGTCCCCTTAAATTATTAAGACCTCATCTAGTTTCATTTATAAATCCAATATGGTATCTTTTCCCTTATCACTTTTATATTCTAGCATTTACATTTTCACATCTTCAACCATCTTTTTCCATATCATTTTTATGATTTGGCATTTTTTAAAATCCAAATCTACATTTAATCAGTTTCAGTTTTATCCAATAAAACATGTTGTTTCTATGCATCCTCTGTTATAGTATCAGACAATCATGAAAATAATTTGAGGATTTGTTCCCAAATATTTCCTATAGTTAATTTCAAACTATAAATATTCTGTTATAAAACTTTAAACATCCCACAAGAAATAGCCTTCAAATTTATCTAGCTCGTTAACTTTTCAAAATCAACATCCTAGTCCACCATTTGCTGTATTCCAAAAATTAATGTTGCTTTAAAAAAAAAACCTGAAGCTTACATAAAACATCTTTCATTCAGGAGAGAAGGAAATTCTCCCAGTGTAATAAACCTTGCCGCTTGGAAAGTTCTTAACATCTAGAACATCAATAACAGGCATTTTCCTAAAGTAGTTATAACAGGAAGTGGGTGACCCAGAGTTTTTTTTAAAGCTCTGAACTACGACTTAAGCAGGCTATTTTTCCCCTGACTCCTCAACTCTCAAACCCACTGGAGATTACTATTTTATGATTTCTTCACAGAGAGATTCTGTACAGAGCAATCTTGTGGGTTATCCTTGTCCTCTCCTTGATCTGGAGAGAACATATGAAAAGCCAATCATAGAGATACTGTCCTAATATAAAAACTAAGAATTTGATTCAATAATACAAGGACATTTTATATTATGTAACTTTATTATCACTCACTTGGACAAAAAGTCTCTATTAACTTTTAACATACCTACTAACAACTTTGTTTAAAAATAAATAATTTCCCCCCAAAGCTACAATTAGAATCTTTACGAATACACTGCTTTGCACAAAGAAACAGACACCTGACATTTTCTGTTCAGACATGGCTGTGGCTGCACAGAACTCTATGAGCAAACACAGAGCAGGCAATACATGGTCCATAAGGAGAAAACATGACTACAGCTACTTTAACTCAAAACAAAACCACAAAAGGAGAAACTAAAGAAGTTCTGGATCCACACATTAGTGACTTCCTTGCTTCACTATCATATCTCCTGAAGTTTTTTCAATTAAAGTGTTCCTAAGCAAATAGCCTGTCCCAATTTATAACCAGGTCTAGGTTTAAAGTTCCTATTCACCCTTATAATGTGCATATTTACACAATTCTAAACTGCAACCCACCAGTTACAAGCTACAGTTATTAGTTATTATGCTTCCTCTCTCATAGGACCAACCCTGTACAATAGTATTTCCTCAACTAACTTAAGGCTTCCACCCTGATATTTTGTAAAGCATTAAAAACTTGAATATTTGCTCAGACCTTTGGTCCGTTTGATAGATAAAGCCATGTAAGATTTTGTTTTATATGCATGTATTGGGATGCATCATTTATCTTTATTATTTGGTGTTGATTAGATAGTGTCCAGAATCGATTGGAATCAGTTTGTTTAAACCTATACACATAATAAATAAAACATAATGAATGCATTCACACATTAATGCAAAACAAACCAGATTACAGTATATGTTTAAATTGCTTGTTAACGTTTTTGTTATTTTTCTGGTGGTTTTGTTGCTTTGTTTTTAACTTTCTACACCTCAGAGCTACGCATATAAGACTATGTAAATTTATCAAATAAATAAATCATATTTTGAGTTGATGTAATGTATAAACTGTAGTAATAGGAACAAGGCTACTATAGCTTGTTTAAATCAAACCATTTGTCTGAAATGGTATAGGGTTTCCTGCCTGAGCAGGGGGTTGGACCAGATGATCTCCAAGGTCCCTTCCAACTTTATTTTTTTTTTTATTATTATTATTACTATATTATTATTATTATTATTATTATTATTATTATTATTATTAACTACTAAGGTATGATATGTGAATGTAGATACTACTATTCAGTGGAATTTAAAAGAAAAGACAAAGACAGAAAGTATAGAGCCTACACTGAGAATTTACCTCCTCTCTCAAGAGCAGTGTTGGTATTCATTTTCCCTACTATACCAAAGAAAAAGAACTGGGGAAAAAAAACCTATCAAAGTTTTCTTGCAGCAATAGTCCAAAAAACTAGTGTATTTTAAAGTGCGATTCTAGGACCCCAGGACCTTCTCAGGGTGCCTTAAAATCAAAATTATCTTATCAGTCTACCTTGAAAACATAATACAATATTAAAATCTCACCAAATAATTGTGAGAAGCAGTAGGCCTGCAAATGTGTCGATTTTAATGTTTAATTTGGTAAATATTGATAAATACAGACCACGTAAACAAAAGGTCCTTAGGGCTCCTCCATAATTTTTAAAAGAGAGGGGAAAAAATTAAAGAAACATTGCAATTGGTTGTCCCACTGAGCAAGAAAAAGCAAATGGATGTCAGCACCAGTGGTGACCTTCCCCCCCCCACCCCCGGCTTGGGCCTCCCTTCGCAAGCCTCCCAATTCCTTACAGAAGGAAAATCTTGGCACGGCTGGGGAAGATGGGCCACAGAATCGCAGAAGAGGGGGGAAGGAGAGACATACAGAGCATAGGACAGTGTTTCTCAACCTTGACAATTTTAAGGCATGTGGACTTCAACTCCCAGAATTCCACAGCCAGCATTGCTGGCTGTGGAATTCTGGGAGTTGAAGTCCACATGCCTTAAAATTGTCAAGGTTGAGAAACACTGGCATAGGACCTTGAAGAACTCCTTCCGTCTGCAAAAGGCCAAATGCAGCACCAGAAAAGAAGTGGTTTTTTTTTTCTTTTCTTTGAAGTTTGTCCCAAACTGAATATGCACTCGGCGTCTCTCTCTGGAGTTCAACCCACTTCCCTCATACTCCAGGTCCGTCTCGCATCCTTCCCGCTTATGTAAACACCCTCAAAAAAATCTCACACGAGCAAAGTCCAAACAAAATGTACCGAAGGGGCATTTTATCCAAACGCCTTGCCCTTTAAAAAGCCGCAGGGGAGGGGTAGGCCCAGAGTTTCAGCGCCTGCAACCCGCCTTCTCCAACCGAGTGCCCTCCAAAGGGTCGAAAGCACAACTCTCTCGGGGCCGGGCATTCTGGGAAGTGTAGTCCCACATGGAGGAGGGAGCGAGGGACGGACGAAAGGTTTTTCTCTCTCTCACTGACCAGCTACGAAGGAACCGGGGAAACCTCTCTCCTCCTCCTCCTCCTCGCCGAAACCCGCCGGCCCAGCTGGAGTCAAGTATCTGCCAAGCGGGAGGCCTTACCGGGCGGCGAGGGTGCCCCGTCGTGCTGGGAATCCTGGAAGTGGACTTGGCGGAGGTTCCCCGCGCCGGGGACGGCGCCCCAGAGACGGTTGGCGGTGCCTCTCAGCAGGCGGCCACTCTTGCCCGTGAAGGTGGTGAGGTACTCCATGTGGGCCCGGGCACCACGCTCCGGAGCCAGGAAGCGGGACGAGTTCGGGGACCGGGGGGGGGGGGTCTACCGCCCTGCGAGGGCCGTGCGCGGACCCTCCTGGCGGACTAGAAGCCGAGCTCGAAGCGGAAAAGGAGAGCGGCGCGGCCGCGAAAAAAGTTAGGCAAAAGTTGAGGCTGACGCCGCCTCAGGACTCCGGCTGCTCGGCTCCGGTGGGTGTGGCTGGAAGGAGGCGCGGCGAGGCCGCAGCCCGCCGCCCTCGAGTTTCTCAGCGAAGATCCCCGCAGGGCTGGACACGCGCGTGGATGAAGGCGAGAACTCTTGCACGCGTCTCCCTCACCACCACGCTCGCTCGCTCGCTTTCTCTCTCTCTCTCTCTCTCTCTCACACACACACACACACACACACAAACACACGCCCTGCCCCTTAGGAAGCGACGCTCTTTTCTCCCGGCACTTATGGCTTGTGAATTCCTGACTCTGCCTGAGTTGCAGGAATTAAAGGGAGGGATATGGGAGATCACGAATAAACTTTGGAATGGTAAGCTAGCCGAGGAAATCTCCAAAAAGTAAATCTTGGAAGAAGGAAACCTTCTTCTGTAAAACTGCTGAGGAAACCCCTTCAGTCACCAGGAGTTGGGAGAAAGCTTTTGTCCTCAACAAAGATACTACCTTCAAGTAAAGATGGCACTTTCTCTCCATCTCTCTCTGAAATAAAAGGCATGCCCAAATGATAAATTAGGTATTTCCATAAGGATGTATCAGGTCGACTTAGAAGTATTTTTTTAAGTCATAGACGTCCCAAGTGGTGTAGAGTGTATGTATCACTTCCACAAAACTCACTGCCTTGTAAAAACTAAAGCTTACATTACAAGTGCAGGTAAATGAAAGGAAATATGTTCATTTCAATTGACATATTTAGGGGCACTTTGGTTATGCTGGGCGTGATTATGTAACTGAACCTTCCCAAGAATGTGATTCTATAAGTGCTTACTCAAAAGTAAAAGTGAGTTTGGTCAACCTTACTCTTAATATTAAAGTATTGCACCCTGAGGCTCTGGAGGGCTTGAGGGCTTGCTGGATATGCTGCTGTGCCAAAAAGTTCATATAAGCAGTTCAAAAACACAGCAGTCTTTAAGATACATTTGAAGGAAGTTAAAGAAGTAAGAAAGGAAGCAAGTCATTTGTGTAATAGCTGAAAGAACCTACAGTTTCAAAAGATCCTCCAGAACCAGGTGCTAAAATCAAACGAGTTCATTGCTACCTTTAAAAGCTATCAGTAAACCTTAAAGGGACATGCAATTGATAGTTCCTTATGAAAAAAAAAATGCAGGACTATGCAAGCTTTTAAAAATATATTCCATCAATATAGCATAAAATACAAGAAACAAGCAGAAAATAACAGTAATAATTGATTTTAGCATAATTGCTAAATTATAAAAAACAATAAGTATAAAATTTTAATGTGGATGGAAGACTTTATTCTGCAATACAATAAATCAATGTAGTCAGTTCAGTAATTTAGTATGAAGTAGCATTGTCCCCAAACTCATTAAGCTGTTTTGACTTAAATGAGAAGAAGCAATGTATACATGCAAGACAATAATTTTAGAATTAAATAACTCTCAACACCCTGCTACAGCACCTCAAGAAAATCAAAGACCTAAAAATAGAAGATGAAAATATGGTTGCATTTGATCTTGTGGCATTCTTTATGTCCATAGATCCAAAATTAGTGAAAGAATCCACAGCAGCTGTAGTACACAACACATCCAACTTTATCAAAAGGTGCCTGATCACTCAACCCACTACAGCAGAATCAATAAAAACTATGAAAAGGATAACTATGAGATTTGTTTGAATATTAGCAGCTTGGGTTGGTAGTTGGACTATTGGTTTGATCTTTGAGTTTGGCAATTTGGCTGTAAACATTTCGTCTCCATTCGGAGGGACATCTTCAGTGCACTTTGAATTGTGCTCTACTGTCAGAGCACTGGCCTTTAAATATCTTTTTGTGTGATATAAATTGGTGTGGGTATTATTTGTCTGGATGTTTCTGAATCATGGTCTGGTTTCAGGCTGTTTGATTGGCTGCTGTTCCTGGTGTTTAAGTATTGTCTGTGTGATGGAAATGGTGTTTGTTCGTTTGGTTGCCTCTGAGTCATGGTCTGATTTTGGGTTATTTCATTGGCTGTTGTCGAGATGTGGTCTGGTTTCTTGTGGGGGGTTGTGATTTTTGCTGTGTGGTGGGGTGCCTGTTTGTTCATTTTAAATGCTGTCTTCAGGATTGCGGTTGAAGTAGCTATTTAAAGGCTAGTGCTCTGACAGACAAGCACTATTCAAAGCACACTGAAGATGTCCCCCAGAATGGAGATGAAACCTTTGCAGCCAAATCACCAAACTCACAGAGCAAACCAACAGCCCAAGGATAATTATATATCAAAACATCCAACAAACTATTAAAACCTCATGGCATCACCATAGAACAGAAATCAACTAAGCATCTTAGGTAAACCAAAAGACCCAAAAGTCACCTACAACATACAATGGAAGAACTAAAACAGCCACTACATAGGACAGACAGAAGATTACCAGAGCACATCCATGAACACCAATGAGCAGACTCAAGACATTAAACTTACATCACAAAAACAAACACAACCATAGTTTCAGCTGGAAAACTGAGCATCTTAGATCAAACTAAATCCCCAAATGCTAGGGAATTCCTGGAAGTCTGGCATTCAGACATAATAATTTAATAACATAATAAGGGCACCTTGCTTTGGGTTTTTCGACTCCACCATGCTGCCTCACATTTTAGGGAAATTTAGCACATAGCACAAGGCACATTCACAGAAGGTGGAGACCAAGGGATGCAAGCTTTGTTGCTTTGTTCCTGTGTACAATGTCTATGTATTTCAAAGGTTTGGGTTTTGCTCTGCCTCTGCCATTTTGGCTATCTTTCCCCAAATCCCATACCAGGTGGCTCTAGGTTGCAACTAGCCAATCTTTGGCTAATTTAAAGAGATAAGTAGGATGGAGGGAATTTCAAGGCTATAGACTAAATTGGAAATATAAAGGAAAAATAATGACAAGCAACTTAATTAACACTTATTATTGTAATACAGAGATTTGCATCATCTTCCAAAACAAAAACTGAAGAATGACAGGCAAAATAATGAATGGGGCTAAGAGAAAAACAAGGCAATTTAATTTAAATGTTATTCAAATTGCTACAGTACATATAATTTAAAATTCAAATAACATTTAAAAGCAGAATATGATTTCCGCCTATATATTTAATATTTTTCGTCTGTCACAGTAGTGTTTACAATTAGGGAGAACATTTGAAGGCCCTGAGGCAATACATATAGCCCTGGAGTTAAGGTTATGCAGTTCTTTATAGCTGCTTATAGAAGAAATGGAGGATGGTGTAAATATTGAAGAGGTGTACCAGCAAACAGCTAATATCTGGAGAGAAGGAAATAAAGTTCAAAGCACAAAAGGAATTTACACTCATAAAGGAAGTTAACAGGATAGGGTTTTCTGTATCAGTACCAAAGGAAGGGGGAAAGTGGAATGGTTTTGCTTTTTGGAAAAATGGTATGGTGATAATTTCCTTCTCTGGAACTGTGCTGAAATCGTCTCAAGAACAACTGACACAACGAGAAAAGGACAGTTCAAAATAAGTAATGAGGTGATTACAGAGCTACCATAACTAAGTGTCAGTCTCAAAGTTATTTTCATCACATCTCAGAGTCTTGGAGCTGCATAAAGTATCATCTTGAAGGCCCCTTCTGTGTTCTTTGAAAAATGTTACAGAAGACATGGCTTGGGACAGATCAGAATGGGCTCATGCCAAACCAACCCAATATCCTTTTTTTAAGATTGACTACACAATGGACATAATGCAGTTTTATTTCAGCAAAACATTTGCTATCTTCCAAGAGATTCCAGTAGAGAAAATGGCAAAATGTGAGGTGGACTATATTATTAGAAGGATTCAGAACTGGTTGCAGGTGACACAAAAATAGGATGATAGCAAATAAGTAAGTTTAGAAAGATCTTATCAACCTGGAATCGTGGGCAAAAGCAGCAAGTGGGATCTCAAGCAGGGACAAATGTAAAGTCCTTTATTTGGATAGAAAAATCAAAGGTATGAATATAGGATAGGTTGATGTGAAGAATATCTGAGTGGTTTGGTGATTGCAAGTGTGATGCAGCAGGAAGGAAGGAAGGGAAATAAGAAGATGCAGTCATAGGCTGCCCTCAAAATTACAGCATCAAGTTCAAAATAATTCATCTTATCTCTCTATTTTGCATTGGTCATGTCATACCCAGAATATTCTGTGCTGTTTTGAGCACTGTGTTTAAGGAACGACACTGACAACTGGAACATTCAAAGGAGAACAATCAAAATGATAAGAAGCCAGGTAGAAAAAAAAAACTTAAGAGCTACCTCCAAGTATCTGAAAGACTGTCAAGATGCTGTTCAGTGTTATTCTATAAGGTAAGATAAAAACAGGAATATAAATTACAAGGATTATGAATGGGCATTAGGAAGAATTTTCTAACAGCAAGAGCTGTTCAACATTGGTGCAGTCTGCTTAGCCAAAAGTGTTTAAACAGGTTGGATTGCTTATCCACTGGAAATGCTGTACTAGCGGATGTTTTCACTGAACAGGAGATTGGATTACAGCCTTACAACCCATAGTCTATGATTATATAATTTATATAATTAGGGGTATCGGACCTACCCTGCTAAAATCTGGATGCTAATTAGATGTAAAGAAAGAGTTTTGTATCTCTCCTGTCATTTCCTAGTAATTTATTTATTGTTTTGTTGTTTGAAACCAAGATCTGATCACCTTTTTATTATAC